TGGGGCTCTGCTTGGCCCCAGGTGCCTGGGGAGCTCTCGGAGCCGGCGCCTTCCCGGCTCCTCGCGTTCCCTCCCGCTCCTCTTCTCCCACTCGTTTTTCCCCAGCTCCGTCTAGCAGTGAGAGTCGCTGTTTGTTGCCTGCTGCTGGTGCTGGGGCTTCTATTTATGGGCATCTTTATCACCTATTTTGTGGCGTTTCCAGCCCGTAATTCCCTCCGCTGCACCCAACCTGCAGGAACTAAAATCCTTGGGAGCAGCCTGCGCGAGGCGGCTTCGGCTCTGCCCGGTTTGCTCTCCTTCCCGGCAGGGACCCTGCGGTGCCTTCCCAGAGCTCCCAAGCCGCGGCCGTGCGGCTGCCGCATCCCGGCCGCTCGCGGAGCGCTGCCCGAATCCGCCCGTTTTTCCTCTCGTCCCCTACGACGCTTTTCCCGGAGGTTCCTCCTGCCGCCCAAGCACAACCCGACCGGGAACAGTCCTGGCCCTCGAGCCCGGGGCTCCTCCCTGGCCCGGGGGGTTCTCCACATCCCCGGAGATGCCGCGGGATGCCGGGATTCCCGGGTCCTTGCTCGGGCTTTGTGCAGCCTTCTGCCTCCGCTCTCCCTCTTCCCCAAATGTCCTTGGCTGCTGCCAAGATCTTCTTTTTTTCTCCATCGGATTATCGTTATTTTCCAGGCTTCGTAGGACTGATTCGGGTTTCTATTCCGAGCAGCCGGAGCGCGTTCCCCTCCCCTCGCTCCAGGCCTCTCATTGCTGGGAGATGAGTAAGGACCGAAAGGGGAAGCGGCGCCCATCGTAACGGGAGCCGCCGCCAGCCCCTGGCTCTCGGCTCTCTCCCGGGCGAGAGCAGAAGGGCGTTTGGAAAAGACACCGCTGCTGGGAGCCTCTGAGCATGGGATATTCCCTGGATTGCTTTTGCTGTTGCTGTTTTTTAGTTTATTCCTCTGTTTTTCCAAGAGCAATTACAAAATCTCAGAGCCGCCCTGCAGGGTCCTGCGGGAGGAAACAGCCGTCGGGAACCTCTTGGCTTCTCCTTTCTGTGGACAGCTCAGGGTGAACAACTCTGCGATCAGATTTTCAGCCGGCAGCCTGGGTTTCCTCCCGCGGCTTTTCCAAGCAGCCCTTATTCCTAATGTCACCTGTCCTTGTTTTTATATAGGATTTTATAGGATTGTTTATAGGATTGCCTCTGCGTGCCGGCGGGCGCTGCTCACTTCTGCGTGGGCCCTCGCATCCCCCCGGTGCCTCCCTTTGCTCCCGCTCTGATTTCGGGATGAGGGATTTGGGATGAGCCGCCCGGCCCTGGCGCTGCCCGCCGGAGTGATGCTTGTGCCGGGCAGGGACCAGGCCCTGGCGCTGCTCCTGGCCCCGGGTGCTCCTGGCTGAGGACAGGATTTTCCTGCGGTTCCGTAGCTCGGAGCTCACACCGGAGCACCGGGATGGGGGGCCACCCGCCGCTATCCACATGTCTGTGAGTGGGGACGGGACTGCAGGGCTGCTCCATGGATGCGGCTGGGGCTCGCCCCGGCGCCCTCCACTCCGCCC